TCTCTGGTGTAAGATAGTTAGCATCTCAAATGTTGTACTTCACTTCTATGGCTAAGTTTTGAGTAACAGGCAACTATAGAATAACCGGTTTGTATTCTACCTCCAAAAGCATACCTCTGTCCCCAAAAAAAGAAAGGAGACCAAAAGAGACAAAAGAAACCCACTTTTCTTCTCGTTACTCCCTTTCTCCTCTTTCTAATAGACTTTAGCAGAGCAATTTTTAAACCAACCATATTTTGAAGCGCCTTACAAAATTCATCTCATTTGCTGGATAGCCCTCAACCTCCCCTGGAATCCACTACTTCTGCGTAATGTCATTTTGCCTATTGATTCCACCCCTCTGCACGGAGTAACACGCATCTATAAATCACGGAGCAGCTGAAGGACTTACCTGAAAACAGTGCCTCCATTACAACATCCACTTTCCTCTGAAAGGCCCTACTTCAGCAATGCTGAGCACAAAAGATCAACACTGTGTTCCAAAATACAGTTACAATACTAAAAGCAAATCTTTTTCCAAACACGTAAAAACAGAATACACAGATGAGGCAACACTATTTAAGACATCTTTCTCATAGTTGCCTTTTATTAGAAGTATCCCAGTACATCCTTGATTATGCGTTAGAATCGAAGCGTTTGTATTTTTTCTTAGTGTTCCAAAGCCTTTATACAAAAAAAAAAAAAAATTGCAGTGGTATTAAAATGCCCTAAAATTTGGAATTCTTTTCTATTGTAGTTCAGATCCAAGTAAACATCACATTTTATATACGAATTTTCTTTATTAACCTTAGTAGAATTCTTCCCTCCTTCTGCTCTCCTCATGGTGAGTAAACAATAATGTTATCGCCTAACGTAGCCAGGAGAATATCTTGGAATGGAAAGCTATCTCTTTATAATCTAAAAATCCTGATCAGCAAACAATTTTGACAACTTGCATGTGTCTACAGGATAATCCACAAGGGCTGCCTAGACATATCTCTTGCTGAAATAGTTAATATTCCAAGAGCATCACGACTGAATCAGAGCTGGACAGAGAAATACGCATCAAGAGTCACAGAGTAAAAGGCAGCATATACACATCCTGAAATTTCTACGCGTTTCATTGATTTCTGAGTTCTCCAGGTCTTGAACTAAGGTATTTGCAGGCTGGATTGGTCTAGTCTTGAAACTACTAGAAACTATTTGTTTATTTATTACACTAGTTAACCAATACTACCTAAACCAATGCATATTGTGGAATGTTGGCTTCACTAAATCTAATTTTTCCCCAGTTAACTTTAGTGAGATGAGATTTCTCTTAGCAAAGGAACCCTTAAAGCAAGAATTGTTATACCAGGTAACTACACTAGTCTTACCAATAGCCTGAAAAACATCAGTAGTAGCATTTTGCTTTAAAACACCAAGTAGGAAGAAAATGAAGGTTCTACATTTGTTTAAGGGATTTTTCTAGAAAATACTACTATCGTTCATTTATACAGAGTGATAGGGTTAGTTTCTTGTGAACTTGATTCACCTTCTACTTGATACTGTAACCGCATTATTCTGCTTGATATAGAGAGTGCATGCTGGAACAAGGTAACTGAACCTATCATTACAATTTGTATTGCACATCTACCTGGTGACATTTAGGCAACAATTCCTATTTATTAATATATTAAACCCACATGTTTCCATCTTGTAACTGGCCAATAGTTCCAGGAAGTTCCAGTTGCTTGAGTCTAATCACTGAAGTAATTGAAAGAGAAGATCGATGCAAAGACTGCGACAGCAGCTGCTATTACCACACCTAAAATAACAAAGGAAATGCATTCAGTGAGTGGTGAGGGCAGCACAGTCATCAGCAGCAAGGGTGTGGAGGGCAGGGCCAAGGTGAATGACAAGCAGGAGGAGAAACTGTAAGAGCCACCCCAAAAACTATCTACCGCTGCTAAGCCTAAATCTAAAGCTACCATGTCAGATAATTAAATTATAACAGCTCCACGTGACATTACTAATCTGAGCAGGATCCTTCCAGAAATCCATTTGGCTGCATACTTCTGTAGTACATTGGCCACATCCTGGCTCATAAACTAATGCACTACTGCTTAACTCTAGGAATCAGACTAGAAAAAAATAACCAAAAAAAAAAGCTTTAAGAAACAGAAGCTATTAAGTTTTTTCTTTTCTGTGTGGCACTACATCTACGCTGTAAGTCTCTTTGTAGCACAAGAGTCATTTTTCTGTTGATTAACATGCTGCTTACTGATGCAGCTGAAAAGACAACACACAAAAAAACCAAGACACCTGAGTGATGATTCAAGGGAAAACATTTTTACATCCAAAGCAAACACATATTTACTGCTACCACTCTTTAATCTTCCAGTTACCATGTTCTACTTCTAAGAATTAATAGAAAACAAAAGTTACTGTTTTGTTGACTAAGGTGTAACCGTATTTTAATATGAAAAGACAGTCACATCTCACAGCAAAGAGAACTGTACTAAGTGCAGACAGATATACGAGAGCCGGATGAAGGAGTATCATGGAAAAGTTGTGTTTGAAAGAAGAGTTCTGTGGCTGGTGTTCCCTGAATTATTGAGGCTGACAATTAGCACCCAAGCCCATACGTATTTGTCAGCTTCGGAACAAGATTAGTGAGTCACTAGCCAATTTATGCATACATATTTGACAAAGCCATTCAACTGTGGGTTTTTTGGTTTTTTTTTTTTAAAGTACGGAATTATAGAAGTGGTTGCTCTCCAAAAAAGAAATAAAGCTGCATGAGCCTTTTGTATTGACTTGTGGGCTGAACAAATGCAAACACTGCTTTTGTTTCAACAGTGGGCTGTGGTTCTTTCTTCCCCAGAAACACCCTGCACCTACACCACTGAAAGAGGGACTCATTTTAGAAAAGTATCGTATTAATCTCACCAGTTTATTCATAATGCTGTGGAAGCTTACAGTACTGAAAGGGCCCATTATAGTTTCTGGATTGCCAGAGCAAAAATCAGGGAAGTAACGTACCCATATTTTGTTGGAGTTTCAACAGCAATGTTGCTTTTGTCAGTTGTTTCTGCTGTGTGTCATCCATGTTGTCCATAATTGGACAAATATCAACTGCAGAAATCAAGTGAAGAAGTGAATACCAGGTGAAAAGCTAACAGTTGTGTTTTACCGTTGAAATAATGCAAAAGGCCAAGAACTTCCTATCAACTTTATAAAGTACATTTACAGTAGAAAAAACAGGTTATTGCAGTAGAAATGGTACAGTAGCAACAGCACGGTACTAAACTATTCTGTATGGCTGGAAGAGTAAAAATGAAGAGGAAAAAAACATTTGGGAAGGAGTTCCTCTCCCAAAATTCATTTTCTACACCCTGCTTCCAGAGTAACACATCCAACCCCCTTTACATAACCTGGGGAGAATCCAACTGCTCTGAGAGGGAATCCCCAAAATGAACCATTAACCACCTTTCAAGGTCAAAGTTTTCCCTTCAAAGTCACCTGTGCAGAGTTCAGGCTACGTGCAAAACCCATTGCAACTAAAAGAGCGAGCCCAGCATCATTTCCCTACCTAACAGCCATAACTTTTTTTAAAAAAAAAAAAAAAAACACACCACACAGAAATTCCTTGTTGAAGATCCCCTAAAAATACACTTTCAGAGCAGAGAGGACACATTCCCCTTTGGAACAATTACTAAATCCTTAGACAGCTCAGCCAGGATGTGAGAGAGCTTGACTCTATTTCCAGACTGACGGGATTCAAACCCATATCTGTTTCCTTTCCAAAGATTTCCCTAATCGCTTGGCTATATCCAGCTTGTTAGACAGGAGGAGGAGAGAAAGAAGGGGATTAATCTCGAGTCCTCTAGCTGAGCTTGTTCGTTTGTCCTACACAGAGCAAGCATGCTTTGGACTACGCAGCTCAATCATAAGGTTACTTGATGATGGTGGGCCAAACATCCTCAATTTCTTTCCCGTCCCCAGGACAGTTTGCTAAGGCATCACTTGTCAAAAGTTCTGATTACAATTCAGTAGCTACTATTGCAGCTATCTTCTGGACAAATAAACAGTAAGAGAAAGTGTTTGTGCTATTGCAGTGAGATCTGGATGTCTTCAAAAGAACAGAATCGGCATGCTGACATGAGAAAAAAAAGACTAACATATTGCTCTTATTCAGAAGATGAAGAACAACCCACAGCAGTACCAGTTACCAAGTTTTAGCAGTCCATGGACTACTGATATAAATAAAAACAGATCTCCCATTTCCAGAGTGCAGTTGTCAATCACCTATAAATTACAAATTATATAGTTGAGTAATAAGGCACAGCCCTTGTATGATTCATATGAAAATGATTCATGGAAAAGTACTTTATCGTATCATTAGCTATGGACAACTATGTCTTAGTTTTGATTAGCAAACAGGACAGTTTGTGCCCTCTAACTTTATGTTTCTTTGCACCTTAAGAACTGCTGCACTTTTCTGAAGGTAACTTTTGAAGCTGCACATCAAGGCAGCAATGCTCACTTGCTCGGGGGGGAAAAAAAGAGTAAAAAAGAAAGAAACGCCCTGGAGCTATTTAGTTACCAAAGGCATTTATGCCATTATGGAAGACTTGCATTTAAAGCAGCTGTAGTATAAATCACACAACGAGTTTTCAAAAGCAGATGCTTTCTGGTACCAATTATATGAATCCTTAATTCTTCATTAATTCTTCAATTCGCTAACAAAGATGGGGAAGTGATTACCACTACCGAGGTCTTATTTATGTTTATCCACTCAGGGTTTATCCACCCCTACCTCCCCAACCAAGGAGGAGCAGGGATTTAGTAAAGCCAATCATAAATGCAGAGCTTTCAATTGCTTGTATTAAGGCACTAAATACCTTGAAACTACAGAGTTAGAGCTATTTATATTTTTCAATTATAAATAGGTCTGGTTTTACTTTCTATTTTCCATGTAACAATTTTAAAGCATGACCCAGTTGTGACCTCACTGGAGAGGTGTAGAAGGAATCAAGAGAATAAAACTGTAGGAGGCAGCAGCAGAGGCTGTACTAAGTAAGCACATAAAACTGACCTTCTCATAATACCTTTATTTCATATGTTTTGATTAAAAGCTGCTTAAAAATAAATTCTTTTGCTATAGTGATTAGATCCTCCTCTTCTCAAGTGCATATTTTAAAGAGCAACAAAAAAATTAATTAGTTGAAAAGCCTGCTCTTGAATTTTAAACAATTCTTTTTATCAGCAAACTCCCCCCAGAACTTCACTATGGATAGCATTTCCAGTTAATTCAAGGTTGCTGCCTAAGACCACAGGAATTTTGATACAAATAGAAAGGCTGATGTCAAAATTCACTACAAACCAATTTTTATACCATTGCTGAATTTTGACTATTATTAATAAAGACAGCACTAAGCTTTGAGAAATAACAGGTGCTACCCAAATTGGAATGATCCATTGTAAAAGCCCTCACACAAGGGAAACCCCAAACTCACATTATGTCACAAAAACATGTTTACGGCAATACTTAGACACTTCACACTAAAATACCAATTCAAAAATCAAATTGCAAAATTAATGCTTTTTCTTCCAAAGCAGAACACTTTTCTGACACAGTCAGCAGGTCTAATTTCTACAATGGCCTTCCTGGCATTAATAAAAGTGTATAACTAATTTGTGATTTTAATAAACCACAAGTTAATAATGCCATAATAATAATTACCAGAATCAAACAGCGTTGTGCTGATAGCATCATTACTGTAAGCACTATTAGCAGAACCCATTCCACAGACAAACTCTATGGTGTTCACTGGGATAAGGCCAGTGTCTCAAGTTTTTTCTAAAATCCTCTTTACGTTTTTTTCCTTTCCTCTGCATTAATTTGCTTAAAAAAAAAAAAGTAAAAGAAAATAAATCCTGTACACCTAACTCTACAACCAGTAAGCTACGAGAACACACAAATTCATTTTGTGAGCTACTCGGACAGCACTTGACAGGTATTATTGGCATCAAATCTTTGTGATGCATTGCTGTTAGTCTACTCGTGCTTTATTCCTACCTCCAGATCATATATCCTTACATAAGCAATAAAGCTAAACTGAATCATCTCTCTCCCTCCCACACCTACCTGCACTGCTACAACAATATTAATTTGCTTCCCTAAGTTATACTAATTCCTTAAAGCTCAGTAATAGTTAGCTTTAAGATTATTATATTACTCGTATAATGCAAGAGAGATTTTTATTGGCTTTTCTGTTTTTCTTGAGGTTCTTGAGCTGTGTACATATTTTACTTCTCAAGATAATGAGTCAGATTCTCAGCTAACAGGTTTAGTTGAAGCCTAGGGAAAACTGATTAATTTAGAAAGACATCAGAATTTATGGTTACCTCTGAAATTAAGAAACGCAAAACCCCCTCCAAATAAACAAGTAGGTCAAGTAGAATATCAGCAATCACAGTTCACCCTGCCCAGCAAGCTCATGGCTACATTTCTCAATTTTTGTCCCTAAATATCAACAAGTGTTCGCAGTTCTCATCTGAGAATTAGTGTTGTGGATTTTTTTAAATTTAAATTATAAAACTGTAACCTGCAGGTCATATTCACATTGATGAGGGGAAAAAGGGGAGAAATCTCTAAGATCACAGGAAGTATTTTTAGAAGCATTTCAACTACATTGATATCAGTGTCACATGGGAAATGAAAAACCCAACAGGAAACAATATAAACCAGAAATATTCAGAAAAGGAAGTCAGTAACTAGATTATAGCAAAATATCTGTACTGAGGAATGTAACAGTCTCATAATCAGATCATAAACTTATAAGACATTCAGTAGAAAATGAAAAGGTCTCTCAATTTTCTTTCCATTTCAAGTGAATCACAAAACTTCAGGTTGGGGCACTGCATTTGATACATAAAACAAAACACTCAAAGAAAGGTATTCTGTATTTTTGAAAAAGGCAGGTTTTAGCATGAGAACTTCCGGAAAGATATATTAAACTATATATATTTTTTTGCTAACAGCATCTTCTAAGTATGTTTTAATTATTTAGTGAAAAATCTAAATTTGAGTAAAGCACTCAACTTATTCTAACTTATTCTTAGTATCAGAACTACTCAGCTCTAAAAAAGTTCAACCACTGAAAAAGTAACCAGAATATCAAGCTTTACAGGTTTTTCTTACAGTTTATTTGCCAATATAGGATCACCTCTAATTCACGTGCAGAGTAACACATGCAAACCTTGTTTAACCATATATTTATGTATCCAGTGCAGTTCATGAGCTGCAACCATGGTTGCACAGATAACGCAGTGAAAGAGCAAAATATTTGAGAGGAGAAAGAGAGGTCTGTTACAAGCCAAACACAGAAACTGCAAGAACCCTTGCCATTTTTCACAAATCTATTTAAACTGTAATTAGATTGATAGAAACCCTTAGAGCTTGATATGACGTAAGCCAACTTTAAGCATATCCATATCTGGATAAAACTGGCCTATGGCATTAGTCAACATTTTCGTAATCTGTGATGCAGTCTATCCTGGGTCTCAGATATTGCATTTACCATTTACCTGTGTTAATTTCCTCCACTATATGGATATCTTCAGCTGGCACAGACTGATCCCACATCTCAACAAAACGTTCCTGGATTTCTCCAGCGGCCTCATCACCAAACTTATAATCACTGAGCATCACGCTGGATCCAGCAATGGGGACAAACAGTCTCTGAGGTAAGACATGATATTCCCTCTCAAAACCTAAAAGAAGAGAAAGGAAAAAATACTATTGAAATAAAAGCCTTGCCAGTCATGATAAGATTCCTCATTAATCTCTGACCAGAAGATAAAGCTATTGCAAAAGAACTGCACAAGGTTTCCATGTAAAAATCCTGTTTTCAGGCATGGCTTGTTTAGTTGTTCCTGTTTTATGAAAGTTGGGCTGCTATCATACTGATTTATGTTCTTACGTTAGTCTCTCCAGAAATACCCGATACACCTCCAAAACAGACCATAAAATGTTGAACAGACCTTTCTTTCATGTTTAGAATGACTAGCAAAAGAACTCTGGGAAAGACTGCAGATAAGAGGGTACACAGAACAGCACATGATTTCACCACCACAAAGGATTGAAAATGCTTGGCTGCTTCATGCCATACTTACAACCATGAAGTACGGGTGCCACCTGAAGAGGAAACTGAAAACTGCATGCAATTGAAAACATCAAGTTTAAGTCGTGCAACTTGGATAACGTTGGCTAACACCAAAACGAACCGTGTTATCCTAAAGTAAAGGGTAATTCTGAACATGAATTGGTTTTCCTTACACAATCAACCTGTTTCCATTTCTTTTCTATTTTTTCTAAAATCATTATCAAAGATAGTATCTTTTAAAAGGCTTTCATTTATATAAGATCTTCAAATTGATATTTCAATTACCTAATAATATTTGGTTTAAAAAAACCCCAAAAACCAATACAACAAGAAGAAAACTTGATAGCATTGCACTGACTCAGAGAAGTTTAAAGCATCACCCAGCATGAGCAAGGAGATCTGGTCTCAGCACTTAGTTTTTAATATACTCAAAAGTTTTATTTTCGTTAGATTTGTGTTCTGGCCTCGGCATGGTGCTCTGTTAAATTCAAGCTAATGCAATCCAGCAGTTATTCATGCTGCGGAAATGCAATCTACTTCTTTAAAAGACACAAAGCCTGTAAAATAGTATTTGATGAAGGGAAATAAGTTCAGGGGGCAGAGATACCATAAATGATATATTTGTATATAAAAACAAAAAATCAGGATACTTCTTCACACCATAATCACCACTTACAATGCCGTATTTAATTTAATGGCAATCACAGAATCACAGACTAGTTTGGGTTGGGACTCACTCGGTTAATAGTATGTTGTAGAATTGTAGGATGATTTGAGTTGGAAGGGACCTCAAAGCCCATCCAATTCCAACCCCCCTGCCACGAGCAGGGACACCCTCCACTAGCCCAGGTTGCCCAAAGCCCCATCCAACCTGGCATTGAACACTGCCAGGGCGCCAGGGCTTGAACACTGCCAGGGAGCCAGGGGCAGCCACAGCTTCTCGGGGCAACCTGTGCCAGGGCCTCACCACCCTCACGGGGAAGAATTTCTTCCCAATATCTAATCTATTGAACTTCAGAGCTCACGTCCACTAACATTCGTAATATAGGTGATATAAAAACATGGAAGGCCATGTCCAGTTGTTTCTTTTAATCCTACTAAGCTTTAACATACTTCAATATTAATAGGAACATCATACAGTGATTTTAAAAAAGAATAATAGAAATTTGAAATGTGCAAGTTACAGGTAGAACTTCAGTGACATGAGTTTCAACTACAGAAGTTTTTAAAATTCCAAAATTTCCCATCAGTGAGAAAGAAGCTGAAATCGCGTTTTGTGGTCACGAGAACTGAATACAAACTTGGTGTGAAAGCTGCAATGCTAAAGAACATATCTGAACTTGACAAAACATCTCCAGGTTTAAGAAAAAGTCAAGGCTGACAAACAAATTGTGCCATTTGCTTTTGATTCTGCTCTAGCCATACTGGAACTTCAGTACACCAGCATAAATTTTCTAAAACAACCAGAATTCACTGCAAAGGTAAGATTTTTTTTTCTTTTTTTAATTCCTACTTTTTTTGTGAGGTCCTTCATTTATAATCAGATCTTCAAATAGTATTTCACACCGATCCCCCAATGTGTTTATTATGTCTCTTTTCAAAGCCTGCAAGGACAAAGTGAAAACATCAGTAATATAAAAGCCATTTGCAAATCTTTTGACTAGTAGAGAAACAACAAAAGCAGTCAGTCACTCATAGGTTTAACCCAAGTTGAAAGAATAGTTTTTCCCCAGAAAATAAAAGCTACAAAGGGAATTAAAAGAAGTCCAATAAAGATAAACTAACATCAAAAGAAGTGCAATCAAAAAGGAAAACAAAAATGAAAAGCTGAGGAAAATTTTAATATTGTTAGAATAAGAACTGGCAAATTCTAGACATTACCATTAAAAACAAACAAAAATAATCATAAGATGCTGACTCAATAAAGGGGAGGAAAAAAATAAATCACTAAAATAAATCTGTATTTTTCCCTCTAGACATACAAAAATATAGTCTGTAACCTTTTCTTAATTTTAAGAAAATTCTTCCAAGCCTAATCACTTTGACAATTCATGCAAAGATTCACCAGAGAACAGCCTTGGCACCAGGAGACATACCTGCCAGAACTGAAAAAGGAACTGACCCCACCACATACACACGCAGATGGTTTCTAAAACAATCCCTATGTTCAAGGGGATGAACGTTTTGACCCCAGTTTAGACTATATCATTTTGGCAAAGAAAAAAACAGTATGACAAATTACACGTATTTCAGAAGAAAATTTCTGATGAACTAACCACCTTTTCACTACCTGAACAGCTTCTTTGACTTTCGGCTTGTTGTTATGTACGTAGGCTCTGCATTTCACAGCACCTTTCAGATTTATGGAACCACTGCAGACCTGGACTGTAGCTGTTGATCTATGACTTGAACCCTGGGACTGAAAAATAAACACATTTCAGTTTTATCTTGTTACCTAGGCACTTGCAGCATGAGTAACAAAAAACAGAACTAGGAAATTAATAGCATACCTTAATATGTTTACTTATAACCTGTTTTCCCTCATAGTTTATAACTCTAATTTTTAATTTCGTTTTAGTTTTCTTAGTTAAGACTGAAAATCTCTCTCCTCCTCCATTATGGAAAATGTATTTACTTTTCCAGACATTCCATTTCTTGCAATTTAAACATATGGCTATAAGACTTCTAAAACTTTTCAGGCAAGTGGCTTGTGGCTAATACTAGTATTGCAATCTAGACATCTTTTTAAGATTTTTTTTAACAATGAAGTTTGTGTGTTTACAATATAATAAGCATAACCTGCGGTATCCTGAGACTCATCCCATCAGTCAGTACTAAATTATAAATGTGGTCACATTTAGAACTGTATCAAACTGTTGCCTAGAAATATTCACCCTAATTACCAAAACAATGAGTGTGCCCCATGAAGCGCCCTACGACAACACCTGGAAACGCAGGGATGCGTAACTTCCACACAAACTGCATAAACTACCTCTGCCAAAATAAAAAGCTTTCCTTACTCTGAGGCAATTAACCATTGGAATAATGGAACAACAAAAGAAGCTGAGATACTCACCAAATCTTTAAAATGGCATTTTATACATTTCTAAAAGTTTTGCGAAACATAGTTCATGGATTCTCTAAAACTACCTGACATGATGGGATGGCCTGTGCTGTCAAGAAGTCTACAAAACAATATGTGGACACATATGGACTTCAGGACCCAGTCGAGGGCACCTAAGTCAGGGTTCAAGTCAGCATAACCTCTGGTAGCGAGGTAACTCCTGACACAGACCCAACAACTCCAGGATCTGGATCTTAATCCAGAAATAGTGACTGAGCTTCTGACGAAAGCATTCAAGTAAACATCCACAGCTAGCTGTGGCAAGTTGAAGCGCAGGGGCGATTCTGAACTTCCAAATGATGTAACGTCACCTTGAAATCAACATACGTAGGTACGTACAGGCATCCTACTATCAAACAAATTAGTTTGCAGTTTTTCAGATTTTCCTTCCAGCTATACTATGCAATTCTTAGACAACATGGTTATCACAGCACGAGAATTCCCAAAGACATGAAATACGCAGATCTGACCACAGTGTCACAGTCAATATCCACGGGAGAATAAAGTCTTAGGACAAAGTAAACTGGGTTTCTAGTCAATAATTCAAAATGTTCTTTTAATTTTTTTATTCAGTTCTATTAGATAACAGAGAGGTTATAGTTTACAAACCACTAAATACTTACCAGCTGTGTCAGAACTTTGACATCAGAAAACTGAGTGCTGGACTGAGTATTTCCTCTTAACTTTTTCTGAGGGGAAAAAAAATTCTGTGTGTCATGAAACAGCAAAAAAGTCTCCCTGAATCAAAATCTCCTCACTATCACATAAAATTTCTCTTAGGTCATACCTGTTAAGAGAGAAAAGTGGCACATAGAAAAAAGCCATGAGAATATAATTACAAAACTAAAAGGAGAGATGAATGCATCAGCCAAACAACGTGTTTCCACTCTTTGTTAAACATTTAGACACACGTAGGTCTTAGAAATCTCATCACCTACACTCACACCTTACTCATGTTCTTTAACGAGCAGACAGCTTATAGAAAAATTTTTAGTCAGACTTCACATATAATTATCGTGTTTGCATTGCCAGAGGAAGAGGAGGCAATCTGCAGGAAACGTATTAGTTACCCAAAGTAGGCCAATTAGATCAATAAATATTGTACAGAAGATGTCTCAGCCGATGCTTTATCACACTGGAGGTTCTAACTTCACATCTATTAGAGTTCAATTCCTTGTGGTTCGGTACTCACCTGCCCTTCCAGTAGTTCTGCATCATCATCTTTGACTTGTCCATTGATCAGAAAAACACTGTCTTCTATTTGTTTTGACCATCGATTTAATCCATTCTTTAAAAAAAGTGGAAACACAAAAATTTCATAAGAAAGAGGAAAGAAAATTTCACTAGAAGGGTTGGACAGTATCATGCTGAAAATTATAGAAAGACATGTTTCAACACTTACTCCTGAGAGTTTTAAAGTCTCTGAAAAATCTGTCTACATCTTTTGCCAAAGCTAAAACTTAAACCCAACATGTTCAGAATATATACATTAAGAAACAAGCTTTTCAAAATATGCGCTACCCTTGGGATTTGATTTTTGTAGAGAGGGATGCAGCCAAGTGAAAGTCCGTTAAAATTAAAAGCACCCTTTACCCCTGTTCTAATTCGATGCAACCTTTCACTAGGTGAAGCAGAAGAGACTTTAGTTGGAATGCTCATGACAATTGCTTAATAAGTTTGAGCACAAGAAACTGCCAACACTAAGCACAGCAGAAGAAGAGCTATCCACATTTCTTATACTATGAATGCTTCACATTAACTTCAAATTACGCTTAGAAGAGAAATAACTGCCAAACATTCTCCACTGATTAGTCCTACTCCTCTACTCACACCATTCAAATCTTTCTCATTTAATTTTCAACAGAAAAAGTAGTGTAGAGACCAACTACACAACTGGTGCAACCGGTCAGTTACCTTGGTATTCTTCTCCAAGTCATGGTTTGGTGAAGTAGACAAAAGTGGAATGTGAATATTAACATTTACTGTGCAGTCCAAAGCTAACCAGGAAGCAGACAGAGCACTCTGGTATTTCCAATCTGCTGGTTTAGCTGAACTCTGAAAGCAGAAAAAAAAGCATCTATACAAAACACTCTATAACTCAGATTCCTTTTTTTTTTTTGAAACATTACTTGTCATGCATTAAAAGCTGTATATGACACATGACAACAAGCTTACCTTTGGGTCTTGTACATCATAGGTTCGGCAAACTACTCTTTGCTACTTAAAGAAAAAGATCCAGTGAAAAGCAAAAAAACAAGTAAGAATAATCCACAATTAACTTTGTCCTTTACTTCTTTGTTGAGCTAATTTATGCTCTGAAGGAAGTTCTCACCTTTCATTAGCATAAAAAAGTGGAAAAACATTTGACTGTAAACTCCAACTACTATAGCTATAGTGATGCTGTCCCATCTCTTACCGTAAGATCAATAGGTATTCACAGGGAGAACTACCAATGCACCAATTTGTCCTGATCTCTCTCACCTCTCTAAAGAAAAACCTTGTTCCCTCTTCTTATATTATCTCATTATCAACAGACTCAGAATTCTTCTGCAGCACTAGTACAGAACCATTACTTCCTGCTTCCACGTATGTATCATTGATAACAGCAAGCTCAAGAAGTTATACAGTATTTTAGATGTTTTACTCAAATTTATGCAAATCAAACCTGACTAGGGAAGCTAATTTGATGCCATCACACAGACAAACCTAACAGTAGGAAATGATGGAAATTTTGCAAGCATAAAAGGGTCAATATTCTTACGCACAGCTAGTCAGAAAACTTCACGATTTCCACTTGCTGATCTATGCCTACCTGAACTCAACTTCCTCCTCCCAAGTTATTCTTCATTCAAAAATAGCTACAGAAAAGAGGTGGGGGTAGCAGTCTCCACCAATAAACTTTACTCATGAAGGATACTTTTTCGTGGCAGAACAAATTTGAAGAGCTGCTCTGTCCGAGACCTCCTCCTCAGCAGGTTTCCAGAGCCTTCTTTTAGTCAAGGACTTTTCCACTGAGAAGATTAGCTAAAGATGAAAACAGTATTATGCATTTTTTTCCACAGAAATACTGCATTATAATTTCTGGAAAATAGTCTTGCATTAAAGTTCTAAGTCCAAGTAATATCATAACTACGTATAAAATACAGCTTACATGTCACCAAAATGTCAGGTTAAAAGAACATTCAACAAAGATTCATAGCCAACTACTCCAAAGCGAAAGTTGATTGTGAAATCTTAATTCAGCTTCTTTATAAACCGAACCAAGCAAGACACATTTCACATACTCAACTTGTATGCTTTTCTCCTTACAAAAATATTATGGCTTTATGCCTATCAGCCGAAGATCAGGAAAGACAGCTGTGCAAAATTGCTACTGAATCAAAAAACCACAGATTTTAATTCAGCAATCACCTGAACACAACTCATCTGTGTTTCTTGGCTACTAGTTTCAGCAATCACAACTGAGATCCGATTGCATCGCACTGCCAATAGTGAATCTTGGGCCTTACGCTTCAAAACCTACTCATGTTTCAATCACTTATCATGGTTACTTTATGAAAAAGATAAAATGAACCTACATCTACAGGACAGAAAAGAAACGTGGCACTAGATGCCCCAATACTGTAACAAAACTGCATTTTAAGTCTATCAAACAGTAGCACGTTCTAAGTAGATTTTAAATGCAACCACACACACCTAAGTCAAACACCACTAGTTCTGTACAAGATATTCCTTTTAAAGGAATCAGAGCTATAAATCTTTCACTATTGTAAACATCTCTAATCCGAACAATTCACGCAGACAAAAAAAGTTAACACACTGCCATTACCAACAATTGTGCCACGAGGATTTAGCTTAATATAAACCTTGAAGATGCTTTCCTTAAGCCAGAACATCCGCTTTCAGTAAATACAGTAAGATTTGCTACTGCAGTAACAAACATCACAAGAAACAGAAAAGTTGACAAACATGAGCTGTGGCACAGTCCCATAGGACAGCGATTTCTGAGGTTTCAGTCTCAAAACCATACATCAAACCAGAACATTTGTGCTTTTAGACATAAAGCAACAAAACAACCATATATACTCAAGTCAATGATAAAAAATTACTCAGCTACACCCCTAAAGATATTCCTGCCTTTCCACCAGGAAGCCTACTTACCTTGCGCAAAGCATTTTGACTATCTTTTGACAGTTCTGGAGTTGCAATAATAAATACACCAAGAACTAATAAGCCTCCAGGAAGCATTCGAGAAACCTTAAAAATAAAAACAAACATTTATTAATAGGAATCAGAGATCTAGCAACCATGTAACTTGATATATCAAACATTTCTAATGAGATAAGTATGCATCGAGAGCAGAAATGAAATAAGCAAGACAGTTTTTCACTTACAGATTCCTCTGAAATGTAGGAACACATCTCGCAAATTTTCTCGCTTCAATCCTATCAAGTCTCTGTTTCATCATAAACTTTGAAAACAATACAGATATTTTGGTTTAAAAATATCCATACCTAGCACGGTTAGGAAGGTTCTTTTACTTGGAAAACAAAGTTACGTTTGAGATTACACAAGTGATGAGAGAGTTTTTGTCAATCTTATTTCCTTTCTGTTCTTCCCACCCTCTCAACTAACCCACACGGTGCTACCTGACTGGCGTGTGTAGTTATCCATTCTTCATCGATGGACGCCAGATTTGGAGGACTGACGTTGTCTCCCTTCTGCTCTTCCTTTGGAGGTGTTCGAACAGCCCGAATTACATAGTCTCTTTGCAGGGAACACTTTCAAAAACATTGACATAAGCAAATATACCATGAAGTCGATATCAAGCCTGAGAATATACTACATAGTACAGTAACCGTAAGGGCTGCTTTACACCAGGTATTGTTAAACTCTATAGTAATCTTTTACAGAAATAATTCCTTTATGATCTCTTTTTGCCTCTGCCGTAAAGCCTTGTTTAGTGGTAAGTTTTAATTTTGGTAATTGTGGTAAATTTTAATTTATTTTGTGTGTCATATCTTTCACAAAATCATTTTAAAAGACTTGAGTAGTTAGTTGACACCGCAAACCCTTTACGGAATTCTCTTCCAGTGATATTACCAGCATTTTGCATTATATGAGCTCAATGTGATGTTAATAGACTTATCCCAGATGATTACAGCCAAGGGTTTTTTCCGCTATCAACATGAATGAATGGAACAGACTTCAGATATTACACACTTACCTGCCCTATTAACAGGCCAGTGACATAAGGCTTTAATTTCGTGCTGAGGTCTGAAAGATACTGCCCAATAGCTTCCTCAACAAAGTAAGTTCTACCCATTTCTGCAGGTCTAAGACTAAGTATTGTAGTTGCAACCTACAAAACAAACAACGCGTGAAATCAAAGAAAGTATATACACTACACTGGTTATATGAAAAGAAGTCTCACAAAAAGATCTTGAATAGGTTAATACTTTATCTGCCAACAAAGGTTAAGTAGCTTTATGATCTGCAAGTGTGTTTTTTTAATGAACAACCTAACTGTCTATACTAGAGAAAAAAGTATGTGATTGTTTTTTGAAAGAAAGTTATTTTAAATACCTGCCACTGAAATGACATAGCAAGTCATGCAAGCAAATGCTAGGGAAAACACGTCTCCAAGCAACAATTTCTTGCTGCATCATGTTTCATCAGAGGCCAGAATGTAAAGTGCACATTTTGCATTCACATTCCTCTCTGAGGGACTTGCTAAATTCCACACGTGTACCTAAACACGCCATGCACAATTTCCACTCCAATTCCTAAGACATTAAAGGTACAGCATCGGTGGATCTCCAAAAGGCCATCTTTACAGCTCCCATCAGCAGCCATATGAACCCAGGACACGGGCACCGCCACAGACACCCCTCCCTTCCATGCACACTCATTCTGAGAACTGCTTCATGCGCTTTCATAAAAAATCAGCTGCGAAAAAGCTGATGGCAAAGAGCACATGGCGAGGAAGCAAAGGGCATTTTGAGCCTCCGCAAAGGTGTCAGCTGGAGAAAGCCGCACAGGGATGGCGGAGCTGAAGCTCTGGGCCGGGGCGAGAAGGCGGGCTGTCACCCACCCCACCTCAGCCCACCTCAGCCCACAGAGCCGGACCAAAAGCTCCCCCCTGCCCTGGAGCCCGGCCCACAGC